TGCACGCATGCCAGGCGAGCGCACTACCAGTTGAGCCACATCCCCAGCCCGAGACCTTGTCTTTAAAAATAAAAAATTACTGGGGATTTAGCTCAATGATAAAATACCCTCAGTTCAATCCCCAGTACATACATACATACATAAATTTTGCATTCTGCCATCTCAAGTGCTGACATTCCCCTAGTGGTATACACTGTATTACCACCAAGAGAGGGGGAAAAGCTGTTTCTAAACTATCCTTTTTCATTTGTTTTGTCAAATGATTTGTTTTGCTTTTAAAACACATTTAAATTAAAAATAACACCATGGGATAATAACTAAACAGAGGAAAGTGATAGAACTAATGTGCTATTTCATTTTCTTTTCTTTTTTGGTACCTGGGATTGACCTCAGGAGCATTCAACTACCGAGCCACATCCCCAGCCTATTTTTATTTTTAGATTTTATTTAGAGATGGGGTCTCATTGAGTTGCTTAGTGCCTTGATAAGTTGCTGAGGCTGGCTTTGAACTTGCAATCCTCCTGCTTCAGCGTCCAGAGCTGCTGGAATTATAGGCACGTCACCATGCCTCATAAAAAGACCTTATTTCTGAATGCAGTGAAAAAAATAGGGACAAGTACCTTCAGAGTTTTATTTTGGAATACAGCTGACATGTTACTTCAAGAATTATGCAAACTGTTCAAACTGGTAGCTACTAGCTACCAGAATTCCAATGGACATCTAAATTAGCAATAGCATCAGCTAAGATTTTTGAGGCCACACATTGTGCCAAACACTCTACATACTATCGCTCAATTAATCATTAATTAAACCCTAAAAAATTGATACTATTATTAATAATCATCTTTTATAGATAAGGAAAAACGACTCAGAAAGGTTAAACATACTGTTTAAGGTTTGTGGGGGCTAGTAAATGGAAATATCAGAATTTAAACCCAGGCAGATTAAAATCTTATCATTCTCTTCATATCTAGTTTCTATCTTTCTATGACTTGAAACATCAAGACACTGTAAAAAGGAAAAAGATCAAACTATAACAAATTAAGTTTTTATTTCAATCAATACACATACAAAAATCTACATATATGTTCACAATAAATTTCAGAGCTGACCTCATGTTCGTTGTAACTCATTGAATTATTCTTTTTACCAAAGTCTCTAATAACAACAGAGACTTAATATGGTAAGAATTCATTGATTTCAAAGTCTTGCTTCCCTTTTAAAAAACAAAACTCTTAAGTGCATCCAGAGTCCAATTAAAAATAATTAATAAATAAAATAATTCTTTACCCCAGCCCCAAGAACTGGGGGTTGAACCCAGTGGTGCTCCAGCCCTTTAAAAATTTTAAGACAGGTTGTCAATAAATTGCTGAGGCTGCCTCAAACAATCTTCCCGCCTCAGCCTCTGGGGTCACTCCCACCACCACACCCAACAAAGTATTTTACTTTAGAAATGAATTCTTAAATGGAAGGAAACCTTCTAAATGGTAACAATCCAAAACCAGAACTTCATTGTCATGAATAAGAAAATGGAAGTGAAATAAACCAGTTGCCTAAGGTTCAAAAGTTAATGAAAAATAAAGCCAAAATTATAACCCAACTGAATTCAAGTTTTTTTTTAAAGAGAGAGTTAGAGAGAGAGAGTTAGAGAGAGAGAGAGAGAGAGAGAAATTTTCAATATTTATTTTCTAGTTTTCAGCGGACACAACATCTTCGTTCGTATGTGGTGTTGCTGAGGATGGAACCCAGGCCGCACGCATGCCAGGCGAGCGCGCTACCGCTTGAGCCACATCCCCAGCCCCTGAATTCAAGTTTTTGTCCATTAGAGTTGCACCCAATCTCCTAACCCATTAAGTCTCAATTTTTCAATTCTGAGAATATAATAAATATTCAAATATTATTTCAAAGTTACCATAAAGGTGTTTGGGGGTTTGTTTATGGCTCAGTTTTAGTTTTTTTTTTTTTAAAGAAGAGAGAGAGAGAGAGAGAGAGAGAATATTAATATTTATTTTTTAGTTCTCGGCGGACACAACATCTTTGTATGTGGTGCTGAGGACAGAACCCGGGCCGCAAGCATGCCAGGCGAGCGCGCTACCACTTGAGCCACATCCCCAGCCCCTCAGTTTAAGTTTTAAAGGTGTTGCACACCTAGGACAACTGGACAAAATGGGTTAAGGAAAGTATGTTTTTAGCAATATGGAATCAAAGCACTCAAGCATGCTAGGCAAGTGCTCTACCACTGAGCTACAACCCCAGCCTTCTTAGTAACTACTGGTTCAATATTCTCATCAGAAACTAATTTAGATGGTGGCAAATATGGTATTATTCTAAATTACAAGTTTATAATAAAATTCTATTGCTTTAATAATGCAATATGATGCCAACAAATATTGTCACACAAAGTGTGGATCCACACAAATTTTAAAAATCAAGTATGAACACTGAAAGGCTAACATTTTCTTAATGTACTACATCTGAACTGTCATTTTATTTTCAAGAAGAAAAAGAATCATTTCTAAAGTATCTTTTCTGAACACTGTAGAACACTAACTTTTAGAGCAGCAAGTCCACAAATGATAGACAAATGACTTTCTCTTACAAATTAAGTAAACATAAACATCAAATAAATACATTAGGATTATTCAAGTTCACTAATGATCAAGAAAATGAAAAACAGAAATGTGATATTATATATAGTGAACTAAACACAGTCTGGAATGTACTAAGATCAGATATCAGTAATATAAATAACTTTATTTTTGCAAATAATTAAAAATATACAAAATGTACAAGTTGGGGCACAGATCTATGACCATTTTGGAAAAGTTAACTAACAATAAGAATCATTAAAAATTTTACATTCTTTGACTAGTAACTTTTCCAGTCACTTTGATAACATAATCCTACATAGGGAAAAAATATTCCCCTTTCCCTCTCCCCACACATTGTCCTTCCTTCCTTACCCAACCTCATTGTCCACAGAATTTTTAAAGATGATGAAAAACTATTAATAACTACAATGAGAAATGGTAAGCACACATATATTCAATCTAATATTTAGTAGCCATTAAAAATGACTGTCTAGCTGGGTGTGGTGACACACGCCTGTAATCCCAGTGGCTCTGGAGGCTGAGGCAAAAGAATCAGGAGTTCAAAGCCAGCCTCAGGAATTTAGCCAGGCCCTAAGCAACTCAGCGAGACCCTGTCTCAAAATAAAATACAAAAAAGGGCTGGGGATGTGGCTTAGTGGTTAAGAGTTCAATCCCTGGTACAAAAAAAAAAAAAAAAGACAAGTTTTCAAACTTATATAAACTGTTAAAAAAAACACCTAATGGTTTCTTATGTTACTAACTGGGTAACTCTTTTCTTTGTTGTTTTATTTTCTAGTTTTTTTTTAGTGTGTTTATATCTATTCATTAGAAAACCTTTTTCTAACATGAATTAGTTCATCAGTGAATAAGGCAATAATTTTAGTATAATGCAAAAATAACATTGGTTTATTATTTTTTTTCCTCAGCCTCTTGTTTGCACTACCAAATAAAAACAGCTGAACCCCAAATAGGTTAACACCATGGAAAGCATCAAGCTGCTGAAAATACAGTGCTGTACACAATTCTCATTCAACCCATGTTCTTTCTCTTGGCACAGCTTGGCCACATGGTCTTTCTTGGAAATGCTTAGTGAGCTTTTCTCCAAATCTTTATGCATTTTACCCTGGCCTCTTAAATGCTGTAGCTTCAACCATCCTTTCACACCTTTTT